CCCCAAAACCCCAAAACCCCAAAATATATGTAGAATTCCTATAAAGTTATAGTATTAGAAATTTAATTTAAATATTATGAAATAAATACTCATTAAGAGTTCATATTAATAACTTATACTTAGATTTTTTACAAAATTGTTGCAAAAATAATACTTGGCTTTGAAATATTTTAAATCAATCAACACTCGTTAGTATCTTATAGTTTCTATCTATACCCAAAGCTTAAAGTTTTAGCTTCATCTAAATAATTTACTGCTTTTATGATTCCCTAAGTCCCATATCTTACCAAGAACATAATATACTCTTTAATATCATCAATGATAAGTTCAGATTTCTCTAATTATTCTTAAGATCATCAATATCAAAACCGTTCAATGTTTCATAGGCAAATTTATAGTCCTTAAACTTGAATAGCCTATAAAACACATAAAATAGACCTTCGTTTATTTGTTCAGAAATTTAGAAGCTGCTTATCGGCACAGACTTGATTGAATTAGGGTCAAATTTGGCCTCAACACTTTTTATTTCGAATTCACTTTGCATTTCAATGTTTAGTTTCTCTATGACTCTTTCTAATATACTTTATTTTATCTATAATGATATATCTTTTTCCTCTAAATTTGCAAGTTCATCAAGACTACACATATACTTATCATTCATTAAATCAATTAAAGATTGGGCAGTTTTATCTGAAAATAGTGCCTCATTAATGGTTCTAGCGAATTCTTAAATCAAAATTTTTTAATTGACTATGGATTATCCCTATGAGGATATTAATCTAAAAGTTCTTAGTATAGAATATTTAATGGCTGAACTTATCTATTCCAAAAGTATAGATTCGTGAAATGGAGGTAGATTCTTCAATTTTGCATTGAATATTCTTCTATAAACTTTTGATTCTAGACATGACTGAATTTTTATTTGGTTCGTTTAAAGTAATCTGATATAAATGTCTTCATTCCTGTAATTTGTTCGATTAACTTACTCTAAACATTCATCTCTGAATAGCACTTAATACTTCTGCATATTCTCTTGATATATTTCCCCACTTCTTTTTTCCCCTATAGTCTATTACTAATTATTTTCATCCTAATCTTCTTCATCATCATTATCCTCTAAAATATCTAAATATTCCTCATCTTGATTGTCTTAATTATCTAGTTCCTTTAACACTGCTAATTTTTTTTCTTTCTTAGATAAGGCTGGTGCAGTCTTGAAGATTTATATCTTACTTAAATTCTCACTTAGTTTATTAAGGCCTAGTTTTTGGGCTGTAAATTAAAAATTTCTCAAAGCTTGCTTATTGCATGATACAGTACTCTTACTTTAATCATTATTTCTGTCTAAAAATGAGCCTTCAATGATATTTCTAAATTCAATGTCTGGAAAAGCAAAGCAATCAAATACTCTTCCATATAGATTGAAAGTGCATCTTAATGGGATTTGGTAGTCTTAAGATTATAGCATGAGCTGATAGTTTAACTTTGAATAGTTAGTTTAAGTCATTTAAAATGTTGTCACAAGAATTCCACTCTCATAATATAAATCATCATCCTCATCCTCATTTAAATTCAAGTAAGTCTATAGGTACTTTGTTGCATGGTTACTTTTATCAATACTTTCAAGTTCTTTTAACAGGATTTTAATACAAATGAAAAGAGAGTTCTTTTCAAAGTCTTGCACCTCTCTCTGTAACTAAGCATTAATCTATATCCAATCTTTAATCCCTTGTGAATTCTAATCTTTATCTAGTTCACTTTTTATTTTAATAGACTACCTTAAAATCTTGTAGAATTTCTCATTATAATCTTCTTTAGCAATAGAATAGTATAGAACGTTGCTTATCTTGTATAGATCTTAAGTTGAATCGAGCTTTAAATCCTATATTTTGATTAGAATCTATTTCTATGGTGTCAGTTTATTTAATACATCGGTATTCAGTCTCAGTCTTGCTTATGAGTATTGACCGTATTCTCGATGAATGTAATCAATAATCTTTTATTCAGGAATTGGTCGGCGGTCTATATATATTAGCCTAGGTGTTCCCAATTACAAGTCGACTATTTTTATTTGAGGGTTAATAATTTCAAAGGTTGCATCGTCAAGATGCTCAGGAAGCAAATTTATTTAATTTACTCCAGGCCCTAAGTATTTTATATATCTCTTCCAAATGTCTTCAAGAATTGAGCGATACTTTGATTCTTCAAATTCACTATGAGTAACGTTCAGAAACATTTTAAAATGAGTTTTATCGTAAGACTTCATATTAATCAAGATGTATGATTGCTTCTCTTCTATATACTCATTATTGTTAGCAGAGGTCCATGTTCCAATTTTGCGTTTCTTTCCCTTCTTACCCTTTCCAGTGCCATAATGTATTTTGGTTTGTGACATTTGAATGTTTATTGACTGAGGAGCATCAGTATTCAAAGAATCAGGCGATTAATTCCCTCCAGTTTCTATTCCTTGAGCAGGATTTACTTCTTGTCTTGAATTCGATCTCATCTCATTATGAGTTTATGTCTCTTCAAGATTATTTCCAAGATTCATCTTTGATTAATTTGTTCCTTGATCCTTCATTTTATCTTAATCTTCAAGCAAATCTGCCTAAGAAGAGCTATTATCAACTTCGATTGGGCCAAATTTCACATGAGATGACTACTCTTAATTTAAGTCTTTGTAGCCATGAGCATGTATTTTCTATTTCGTTTTTATGCAACCCATAATAGTCGTAAGTTCTGAATATTGGATTTTATTTTTTTTAGAATTAAAATATGAAGTTTTAATAGATATATCGACAAATAACCTATTTTATATTTCTATCATATAAAAACATACTACTAATATAGATAGCTTTTGATCAGATGTAAATTAAGGAATTTCTTAGCTTTCTCAGCAACTGAATTAGACTCACAAGGGGTTTTGGGGTTTTGGGGTTTTGGGG